TCAGCAGGACGGTTACATTTAGTACCATCATATTAGCACCTGGGCTCAGTGCTTAAAGATCAACCTTTTAGTTTTACATTTCAGTAGATGCTGTCTGATTGTTTCCCCCAGAGTGTTCCCTGTAATAGTGAAGAATTATAAATCTGCTTTAAAATAACAAAAAATATATATCTATATCTGGTGTGCAATAAGTGCAAGGTTTACATAGCCTTAGTTAAAGGGGGCAGCCTGTGGTATAGGAGTGGTGAATGGACAGCAAGGGGAAAAATTAACCTGTAATATTGGTCTTTCTCAAAGGGGGAGTGGAGGATTGCATGGGATGGTGCTAGAGGGTTGCCAGCTGGGTCCATCACTCCGGTGGGAGCAAAAATTGGGGGAGCAGAGTGATGTCGCTTCCAGTTGTACCCAGAAGTGATGTCATGACATTTTAGGAATTCCCTAGTCTCTATGGTGAAACCCATAGAGATTTGGGGAATTCCTAGAGCATTCTGATGTCACTTCGAGTACAACTGGAAGTGACATCGCAATGTTACTTCCCACCCCCAAGTTTTGTTCCTGCTGGAGTGAAGAGTGGCCGCAGGGGCCTGGAGCTGGCAGCGGGAAAGTGCCTGCCATGTTGGGTAATCTGAGAAGCCCAAGTGGTACATTAGTGTGGAAAGCAAGATTTTTTCACGTCTGTGTGGGGACTAGTCTATTGATAGTATCTCCTGAATATTTCTCAGGTATGGTTCACAGTCCCTTTAGCATGGTTGAAATAGAGAAGGACCCTGACAGCTATAAACGAAATGATGCAGAGTGTGGAGCAGGTTGCGGAGAAGCAATGCGTGACAGTGTAAAGGGGAGGGCAAATGGAAAGGGAGTTCTGTGTGATTGAAGGAGCCAGGCAGCTTCCTTGCTGAGTCGATTGGGAGATGAGGTGACCCGAAGCAGCGGCTTCTAGAAGATTATTTTGGTAGGTGGCAATGTCTTGTCTCGTCTGCTGCCTGCCAGTTGCCAGTTGCCATTTCTACTTCTCAACCAAAATTGTGGGCAAATTCTAATAACAGAAAGGAATAACGTGAGAGTTCAGGAAGCCTGACAGGGCAGGTGTGGCATACAGAGCTATTTTTAAGGACAGCATGGTTGGCAAAGGTGTAAGGAGGATGAGCTCCTCTGGCTCCAGGGCACAGACATCACACTCCTGAGGCATGGGTGTGATTGATCTCCAGGAATTACAATTTGTATCTAGACTACAGACATCGGGTCCCCAGGAGAAAGTGGCTGCTTTGGAGGGTGGACTCTACAGCATTATACCCTGCTTGTATCTCTACACCAAACTCTCTCCTCCGCAGGCACTGCCCCCAGGTCTCCAGGAGTTTCCAGACCTGGAGTTGGCATCCTTGTATAAGGGGATGGCAGCTATACAGTATCTTAACCCCCCACAGAGTGTACATTAAATGGTGCCTGGAGACCTCCTGGGATTACAACTGATCCAAGCGATAGAGATCAGTTTATCTGAAGAAAATTGCCTCTTTGGAAGGTGGACTCCATGGCATTAGACCCCATTGGTGCCCTCCACCTCCCCCCAGTTCCCCCACCTCAGGCTCCACCCTCCAAATCTCGAGGTATTTCCCAACCCAGAGGTGGCAAGTTATCGTAAGTTCAAAGGGTGTAAAGATGAAATTCCCTGGATGGAGGCAGCTCTGGAAATCCCAATGGCTAATTTGCTCCAGAATTGTATCCAAAAATTACAGAACCTTTAGGACCTCGATAACAGTAACATGTTACCAAGAGGTTTCGAGGTAGTTTAATTCTGTTTGGTAATGTGATAGACCACATTTCCTTTAGCAAATGTTCTCTTCCGCCTTACAATAATGAAGATCAGAAATGACTTTGCATATCTCCTTCTTGTGTCTCTACAGAAGACTGCATATTCACAGTTACCCCAACTCCAAAATCAAAAGTTTACTTAGAAACCCCTAACTGGGTAGATGGTCTGCCTTCCTACATGAACATCTACTGGAACATCAGCGTCCCACAGAAGAAAATGGCACAACTTCAATTCTTATCTGAATGGAAGGATTTTACTTGTGAGAAGGCATGGGCTTATGTCCATGTTAAAGAACAGAGGCCAAATGCAGAAGAAATCTCACGCCGTAATGATGTATCACTGCCAAAGACTCTAGATATGCATCATAATTTCTGGTTAAACATCAGTAACTGTAAACCAAATCCTATGAAATTTCTGGCCATGCAGTTCGCGGTGACAATTGCTGACAAAAAATCAGGTTGGTGTTAAGTTTTGTGTCTGGTTTCACGTAACAGTGTTTCCACAAAACAAATTCCAGATCAATTCTACCAAGAGTTAAACTTTTCCGTTTGCTTCTTTCCTTTGCAACTGTTAAGGAGAGTGAGGATAAGAACCTCCCTGCTACTCGGTTTAGGATGAATGGGCTTAGACTGGAGTAACTCTCATTAGGATTGCACTGTAAGCAATGCTCCCTCTAAGCTGTGGAGTCTTGTGAGCAAAAATTCTACTTTGTGAGCTACTGGCATTAAAGTTGTAAGCGAGCGATTTGGCTACTGCAGAAACTAGTTTGCTCTGGAGCCATCCTTCCTGAGCTAGAACAAAAATGTGTGAGCTGGAGGCTAAAAAACTGTGAGCTAGCTCACACTAACTCAGCTTAGAGGGAACACTGACTGTAAGGGTTTATGTTTTCGGGGTCACATTCAGCAGCTTCCTAAGCTGTCAGTGCACTTTCCAACTAGAGCTTTACTGTGTAAACTGGTAAAAGCCAGTTGGAAAGTGCATTGAATGAGGACTGCAAGTGGATTATGTAGTGTGCGTGTGACCACAGCCCTAGTTATGGATGTGACTTAGTTTATGAAGTTCAAAATAGTCAGGTTTACTCAGGTAAATTGTACAATTTAAGTTACCCCGTGCTTGCTTGCTTATTTATTTATTTACAAAAGTTTTGCATCCTGACTTTCTGTCCTTATAAGGGCCACCAAGGTGGCTTACGTGTGCACACCATGAGACTTTGATTTTATTAATGCGCTTGTCTGACCAGAGAATCAAATATTACAATATACGATTTCCCCAGGAAGCGCTGATGAATTAAAACCCATCTTAAATCACTATTGTAAAAAATCTGGTAACAGATCAAGTTATTACTGGATCTGCATCTGTTAGTATAGATCACCCAGGATTTATTTATTTATTAGTATTATTTTCAGATTTATATTCCACCCTCCCCGCAAATGGGTTCAGGGCGGATCACAACAAACAAATAGGCCATTCGGCATCACAAAAACACAATAATAAATAGTTCATTAAAATAGTAAAACAAGAAATTTTAAAAAGATTGCACCAAATATTGCACAGTCTCCAACACTGGTGCCGCTGGACTCTTAAATTTGTTTAATCTGGGCCACGTAGAAATGGTGTCTCCAGCAGGGGAGGCTGCTTATTTCACTGGACACCCGCTGCCTCAACCAAAGGCCTGGAGAAACAGCTCTGTTTTACAGGCCCTGCAGAATGATAGAAGGTCCCGCAGGGCCCTGATCTCACATGGGAGCACGTTCCACCAGGCTGGGGCCAGGGCAGAAAAGACCCTGGCCCTGGTTGAGGCTTAATTGAAGTCCCTCAGGCTGGGGATAACCAGCAGGTCTTGATCAGAAGAGCACAAAGCTCCATGGGGCACTTATGGGGAGAGCCAGTCCCTTAGTATGTTGGTTTCAGGGCACGCAAGGCTTTGAAGGTCAATACCAGTACCTTGAAGTGGATCCGGTACTCAATCAGTGGCCGGTACAATTGACATAGCACCGGCTGAATGCGTGCCCATACAGGTAACACAGTCAGCATGTACTCCACCGAAGCTCCATGGGGCACTTATGGGGAGAGCCGGTCCCTTAAGTCTGTTGGTTCCAGGCCACGCAGGGCTTTGAAGGTCAATACCAGTACGTTGAAGCGGATCCGGTACTCAATCAGTAGCCGATACAATTGACATAGCAGCGGCTGAATGCGTGCCCATACAGGTAACGTAGTCAGCATATACTCCACCACATTTTGCACCAGCTGGAGTATCCGGATCAACTGCAAGGGCAAGCCCGCATAAAGCGAGTTACAGTAATCAACAGGAGGCTGATATTTGATCAAAATAGGCATGATCCAAAGACCTCGGTACAGTCCATCGATTGCAGAAGTAACTTGAGATGGTCTATAGTCTCTATCGTACCAGACTTGCAACAGGAAAAACAATCCAAAAAATGAGGCTTTAGCAAAGTGCCCCTCAGTTCTGCGCTCTGCAAAGCATTCAGTCTGCTGAGCATGAAAAGTGTGCCTGTGATGAGGGGTTGTAAGGAAACTGAAGTATGAGGGAAGGGTTGGAGAGGGTGAAGTAGAACATAAGACCTGGCAGGCAGCTGCTTATTAACACGATGCAGATGGGTGACCTTCTTGATTGTTATCAGTGTTTCCTGATAGCTAACCATAACGAGGGAAAGACCAAGGGATTCAAGCCTATTATTCACACACTTCTACCACGCACGTTTGAAAGTGTCTTCCTTCAGTAGATGTAAGAGCCAGTGTTCCCTCTAAGCTGAGTTCGTGTGAGCTAGCTCACAGTATTTTAGCCTTTGGCTCACACATTTTTGTTTTAGCTCAGGAAGAATGGCTCCAGAACAAACTAATTTATGCAGTAGTCGAATCTGTCGCTCACAACTTTAATGTCAGTAGCTCACAAAGTAGAAATTTTACTCACAAGACTCCACAGCTTAGAGGGAACATTGGTAAGAGCCCCCCTGGGCATTGGGCTTCCAGAAAAAGAACCTTCAGTTTTAAATTAAAGGCTCCTGTCTAGGCACCACAAGAGTCTGGTTACATATATCTAGCATTCAGCTAGGACTTATCAGGTCAAGCGTACCATCCCCTTTAAGAGTTGTTAGGAGAGTGGAATGAGCTGTTCAACATTAGAATTATGCTCAAATTGCATGAGCTGTTAGAGAAAAAGAAATGTGGCCACAAGTTGAACTGAAGGCTGCAGCACTATTTACACTTACCTAGGAATAAGTGAATTCTGAGTAAGTCTGCATAGGATTGTACAGAGGTCATTTCGGGGGGATCGCGGGGGATCGCAGTTCCCCCAGGTGAGGTGCAGGGGGACGGGGCACACAACGAAGCCCCGCCCCCTGCTTCCGGCCGCCCCGCTTCCGGCCCTCATTCAGCCAGGAGGAGGCAGGAGAAGAGGGAGGGTAAGTTGCTTCCTTCCCGCCTCTCCCCACCCCTGCCTGCCTGAGACCAGGGAGGGCCTTGGCGGGGCTTCCTCGCACTCCCGCCGGCCTTGCAGGTCCACCGCCGGGCCCCTGATGTCAGGGGGTGTGGCATATGCTAATGAGTTATGCTAATGAGTTCCCCTAGCTCTTTTTCTATGAAATGACCCCTGGGATTGTAAGTCTCCTGTCCTTTGAGGAAGGAAGGAAGTTTTTTTCATCCCGTTGTCAAATACAAGTTTTGGAACTGAAAACCATACAGCTATGCAAACAATATCAATTAGGGTTGTCTTCTGCCCCCCCCCCCGACGGGGGCAGGGTGTACCTGCTTTCAGGGCCCCCAATCCACCTTAGCCCAGCCGACCAGCAGGGGAGCCCCACCCCCAAACACTCCCATAAGCATCAATGTGCCTGGTGTGATGACATCACCCAGAAGTGACATCATCGCACAGGGCATGTTGTGGGGGGACACTCTAGTGTTTGAGAAAAAGCTCTATGCTTACCATAGGGCTTGAGGAAATTCTGTTTCTCTGGATCTGAGGAAGTATGCTTGCACACAAAAGCTTATACCATGAATAAAACTGTGTTGTCTTAAAGGTGCCACTGGACCCAAACTCTGTTCACCTTTCAGGAAGTCTGCTTCAACGAGCTTTTACTTGTTTACAAAATGTTTATGCCGCTTCTCCAGAGACCTCCTCAAGGCAGCTCACAACATAAAAACAGTACAATAAAATCATAAAAAACAGCAACACAATAAATTATAAATCATAAAAACATTCAGAAGCCTAAAGTGGTATTCATAAAACAGTTCTCAGGCCAGAACCAGGCCATGAAAACCCCTTTAAAAGATAGAACCACCTGATTTAAAAGCAAGAATAAAAAAGTATTTTGGTCTGATCATGCCTGAAGGACAGTTAGAGAGGTGCCAGGTGAGCCTCGAGAGGGGGGGCAGTCCAAAAATGAGGTGCCACTGCTCTCTCTGGTCACACAGAATCACAGAGAAGTGGGCTTGGGAAGGGGCGTCATTCGCTGAGTGATAACACTAGGAACTTATTGTTATAACTAGGCTACCCTATGCTGAGGTTAATTGGCTTCCGCGAAGTATGGCTTTTGTTAATAAGTGTTTTGTAATGTTGGAAGGGGAAGGGTGTCAAGCAAAGATGTGGGTGATTCATATTTTTACTGCATAACCAGAACATTTGTCCAAAAAACCCTTAGCGTTATGAAATTGCCAGTTAGCACCCAGTCTCTTTTAGGAGAATTGGTACAAATGTTCCTTTCTGTGCGCATTGCAACATTCGTAGTGCTTTTTGTTTAACACATGCAAGCCTGGGAATGCATTTTCTGTTGCAACTGAGCCTTTAGATAATGTTAGGTTGTAGTCGAGCTGATTTTACCTCCATGTCTTCGTCTGCGAGGATTTGACTGTAATATCCTGCAAACATTGTATTCTTAACAAGAGAGTACGGTCTGGGTTTTTTCTCCTGTTTTTAAATTGTATATGATCTGGTGGTGGTTTTCATTTTGTTTCCCTCTCTCTCCCTGCTTTCCGTGCTGCTGTCAGTAACAAAACGACCACCCAACTGTCAGCCATGGAAAAGACAGCCCCTGGTTCTTTATGTGCTGATACATCTTGTGCTTTTTTCCCCTGGCTTTTTTTTTTTAAATGTGCATTTAAAAAAATCCATCTCTCAAGGAGAGGATTTAGACCCAAGTCCGTCCCTTCCAGATCCTGTTTTCCTTGCATTTTTCTCCAGCTACATAGAAAAGTGTGTATCAGAGCACGCCCACTTACTCATAAAGACATGTCACATTTCAGAAGCAGAAAAGTGAGGGAAATACAGCAGCTTTGATTCCAGATGAGCTGAACTTGCCTCTTCAGTTACATCTCAGTGAATAACTTTCTCCCCTTATCTCTTCACAGCTTTGGCTATCATCATTGGTGCGGTGGCTGGTGTGCTAGCAGTGGTAACAGTTATCGGGATTGCTGTATGCTGCATTAAGAAAAAGAAGTAGGTTCACAAGTGGTGTTAAAATATATTGTTTTTGTCTCCCATCCAGCAGTCCTGCAGGAAACTTACTTTCCTGGACTTTGGAGCATGCTTCTCTCTTCTGGTGTTGTCAGAAATCACAGCACTGATTGTGTTGGGGTGGGTGGGATATCTACAGCCGCAGCAGAAAACTGTTGCCTTCTGCTGTTCTTATAGGACACACTGACTGTAGTTCGTTTTGGCCCTCCAGCCACACATAATGGACGTGCATGCTATCCATCTTCCTCTTGATATGCACAGTTGCCATTCTGTGTGAAAAGGGCAATGCATGTACTTTTGATGCTCATACAGCTTTGGTACATGTAAACAGAACTTAGAGGGAACTAATTTGCACACACCAAAGCTTGAGCACACATGGAAAATATCCTTTTTTCACACAAAATGGTGATCACATTGGGAGAATCATAGGTGGCTTTTGCCCCCATTATGCCTGGTTAAAACGCCAAAATCTAGCCTCTGTTAACTAGTGTGGTGCAGGCTCACTCTAGTACACCCCAGGCAGTCTCGTGCAAGGTCTTCTTCTCTCCCACAACTTCCCTGCAGTGAGATATGTGTATAGATAAACTTGGGAAAGTGGTCTAAAAAGAAGCATAACCTGCTATTGCATGTGAGTAGTCCAGTGTTAGCTTAAGAGAGGAGGTGCACAGGGTTAGGTTTTTTCCTTCTGGCATTCATATCAAGATTTCATTCAACATGAGCACGACTAGGTGTCAGGCTTCCCAGTCGAGACACTCAACAACGTTCCTTCAGAAGTTTCAGTTTATTGAGGACTAGTACTTAGGACACCATGAACTCTTGTGTCAGGAATGGCGGGATAGGAGCCAACACGTACAGATATACCCCCTTCAAACTAGACCCCCCTGATACAGTAAAACCAATAAGCAGGCACCTGCAAACATGGGCAAAGAGACAGCAGTTACAGTCCCAGCGGGAAAAGAGGACCCAGCCTAGCCTTCAAGGACACCACACAGATAACAGAGCGAAGCTGAGGAGGTGCGGGGGATGGGAGGGAGAAAGCAGAGAGAGAGAGAGCACCCCACACATTCCAACCTATGACGGTGTTAGCTGACACTAGGTGATTGAACTCCAGAAAAGTACAAAGTAAATTGGTCCATGTAATCCTTTGGTCACTGTCTGGCTTCTTGTTACCTGAATTCCATTCATCGTGAAACTGGCCATGGTTGCTCCCATGCTGGACACGTCAAAACCATGAAGAAAGGCTCTAGTCCAGCACACAGTAATGTGTTCTTAAAATAACTGGGATTTGATTGGTGTGCTTGAGTGCTAAAAGTGGTCAAATACCATTCATATACAGGTATCAAAAGTGTGGTGTGAAGGCTAGTGCCAAACTAGAATCAGAGAAACCCACCGTCACTGCTCATTGGGTGATCTTGGGCTGCTCAATCTCAGCCTAACTTCTTCATAGTGTGGTTGTGAGGTGAAAAGGAGGGGAGGAGAACAGCTCTGAGGTCAAACCCATGGATTTGTGATTTAATAACGGTTGCCATTTAAAACTGGGTGGTTTCTGTGCCTAATTCTCTCCAAACCTGTTGACCTCTATTTGTGCAACTTTCCTTCCCCTTTATTGGCATCACAAACCACATTGCTGTTGCTTTGGTGTATCACTGCCTAGTCAGGGAGGGACAAACCCCGAGTTGCCCAATCCTGTCCTACTTTTAGGAAGCCACATTATGAGGAAGCAGTGCTGACTGTTCTCTAGGTAGCCACGCTTCAGAAACGCCTGAGCCAGTGTCAGCGGGATTTCGCTGACCAGCACAAACTCGTAGGGGACTGCCTCATGCTTATTGTTGAGGTCTGGTGATCTTGCTCTTTCTGTCTGAAAATTAGGCCCCGCGTGCAAGAAAATGGAAAATTTCATCAGAGGAAATACTGAAAGGAGTGCTTTGTCTGACAGGGGAACACTTTTTCCGCTTTTCTTTTGGTGGCTGTTTCAGACAGTCGGTGTATAGGGCAGGGGAGAAGGTGGGAGACTTTTTCATTCTGTAGGTATCTTCTGACAGAGGTTCAGCTGAAAGCCACACAAGGCATTGGCCTTAGGGGTGCCTCCAAGGTGCCCCCAAAGTAGGGAGCTCCTTCTAGGGAGTCTAGATAGACTCTTTAATCACCCAGCTTTTTAGGCTGCACTGAGTATTTTATGGCCCCTTTCTGTGCATGTTGACATTCTATTCATATCCAGGGCTATTTTGGGGCAGGAACGCACAGGAACGGAGTTCCGGCTGGCTCCTGAGTTGGCCACTCCCAGCAGGAACTCATTAGCATAATAGGACACACCCAACAGCAGAAACTCATTAGGATTGGCTACATTAGGGGTGTGTAGCCTAACATGCAAAGGAGTTCCTGCTACAAAAAAAGCCCTGGGTTTTGCAACAAACAAGGTAAACAGAAGCAAAAGGTGGGTGTGGCTGGATGACCACACTTCTGGTAACATGGGGGTGTGGCCTAATATGCTAATGAGTTTCTGCTGTTGGGTGTGGGCTGTTATGCTAATGAGTTCCTGCTGGGCTTTTTCTACCAAAAAAGCCCTGTTCATATCTATATATCTAATAGCCAAGTTGCCCCCTCCATGTGGAGCTCCTGCTGATTCAGTGGCCGGCCGGCCCGGAGCTCCAGGGAATACTCTGCCCACCACGAGTATCGCGGTTCCCATCTCTTGTTAACATCTATTCATATATATGTGAATATATATATATTGCTTTAAAAACTTTTGTTGCTTAAGGTTCTTCAAGTAACCTTCACAGGTATCAGGCTGCAGGTTTTAAAATTTAAGCCATGTGCTCATTTAATGAACTTGCAGATAAACATGTCAGCCATGTATGTAGAGCATAATTCTGGGTAGACATTACGGTTGCTGTCCTTGGTTTGGAAGATTCCTGGAGATCTGTGGAAGGGACAGTGTTTGGGGAGAAGGAGGAGATTGCTGGGGATGTGTTGTCACAGAATCCACCCTCTGAAGTGCCCATTTCCTCCAGGGCACTAATCTCTGTAGCCTGCAGATCAGTGGTCATTCTTTGAGAGCACTAGGCCCCATCTAGTAGTCGCCACAATTAGTGATCTGCCATGACAGGTGAAGCCCTTCTCCCTTCCCCTCCTCCAGCCATGTATGGTGGTGCTCTCCCAGAGTTTATGTAATTATTTAATTTATCCTCCTCGTTTTGCTGCCTGCCCAGGACTGTAAAAACAAGAAGGTTACCACGTACCTCTCAGGTCCCCCCCCCAAAAAAAATGGCTACATTTTTACATTCATGTGAAAAGTAAAAATAAAATGTGAAAAGACATTTTGCCTGCTCTATGTAGACGAAAGATTTCCTGCACCAGAGCTTGATAGCTTGAGAAGAAGGAGAAAAAAACGGGGGGCGGGCGGAGAGGAAAACGGCATTATAGAGGTTAGAGGAATTTCCTAGAGTGTCATCTGGAAGTGATGTCACATTCTCCTGAAACTCCACCCTCCGCAGGCATCACTTCCAAAATCTCCTGGCATTTTCTGGCATGGGGCTGGCAACTCGAACCAGAGCCCAGGCAAGCAAACTGCAGCGGGTCACTCAGGTGTTTCTGAAGTGCTTTTTCCATCCAAGGGGGAAAAGCTGGAGTTTGAATTAGAGAATAGGGTGCATTTAATGCGATAGCCGTTGAATCTGCAAGATCCATGTATTGGTAGTGGCAGCAGGGGAAGGGGCATTGCAAATATAAATTGTGACTTTCTTAAAATGACCACATTGCTGTGAGTAAATTAGATTTTGAACCATCGATCACAACTCAAAAAAAAAATCAAAACAAAGCCAGAAAAAGCAGTATTTTTATGTTTTGCTTCTTTCTTTCTTTTTTTTTTTTACAGGAAAAAGGAAAATCCCCAGACCCCAGTGGTGGGAGTATATAATACTAATGTCAACACTCAGCTCCCCACAAAACCAGGTGTATTTAAAAAGGGGAGGAAGAACAATGAATCTCATGTCTATGCAGTCATTGATGACACCATGGTTTACGGGCACTTGCTGGATAACTTGAGTGTTCCTGGAAATGCTGAGATAGGCGTGTACCAGCCTTTTACTGGGGCCATAAGTACTAAGCCTCCATCTCCACCTCCAATTTCATCTTTCAGGAAAATGTCCAAACTATCTACGACTGAGGAGTCCTCCACACCGATGACTGACAGTGAGATATATACCTTTGCACACCGTGCTCTGGAGCCACTTAAAAGCAATGGTGACACACATATTAGTGGTAACGGAGAGGTAGACACATCCTTACTTGGAAAAAAAGAACTGGAAAACTCAGTGTTATAACCATGATACAAAATCTAAGACTCCTCAGGGACATAGAAGGAACTGTGGTTGACACACACACACATCTCCCCCCCCTTAAAAAAGAATTATTTTAAAGCCTATTTTTATACAGTTTCCTTTGTGGCTCACGTCAGTTTTTAGAATGAATTTTCAGATCATTTACCATGAGTGCATTACCCAGAAATGTCCAGAATTTTGAACACAGAAAGGGATGGCAAAGATGCTTTTAAAACTTATATTATAATAAGACTATTTAAATAAAGCTAAGTACTGGATATTAAATGGACTGGGAAAATTGCATTGCCAAAACCACCTATTGATTTCTTTGGCTCTTGAGGATGGGCTAACATTGATTTGAAGATTGCAACCATGCTGCAGAATAAATACTTGTGGTGGGGAAATGGCATAGCTCGAAGAGGGCTTTCCTAATTCAGAAGTGTGCCCATAAGAAGATGACTTTTGTTGATTGTGTAGCTCTAAGTTGTCTATGACCTAGGATTACACCAGTATAGACATCTGTGCAACAAAACAAAAATGATGGTTGTGTCTGAAAATGAGAATTCCCTATCCAATTAGTTGTGTAATATATGTATAATAAAGTATTTTATTTGTATTTTTCTTTATATGGAAATAATTTGGTGAATTTTAACCAACAGTCAGGACTGATGATTGTGAAAGGTTGGGCATTCGTCATCCTGGGTTGCCAAAAATCTAATGCGAGGAAATTATTACTTCAGTATTAAAGCTGTGTCTGACACACACAGTAGCCTCCCTTTATGCTGAATTCTCAGTTTATAATGCAGAGCATGGTAGTTTTAAATATGGAACATATATATTGGAGAATAAAACAAAGGTCTGAGTAACTTGTGGGGCTGAGTCCAGCTGGTTTTCAGATAGGTTTATAGTCTGAAGAAACGGCAAGGTACCAGTAAGCTACTTCTAGGTTTCCTAGAAATCGTACTGTATAAATATAAGACAACTGTGGCCAGTATTGTATCAATGGTCAATACACTTCTCTACAATTAGAGAAGCACAGTGCTGTACAAAGCAATAATTGCAATTTAATGCTAACATGCAGATGTCCCAGCCGTTTACACAATACTGAACTTTATGCAGGGGTCGTTTCGTAGAAAAAGAGCTAGGGGAACTCATTAGCATAGCTCATTAGCATATGCCACACCCCCTGACATCAGGGGCCCGGCGGTGGACCTGCAAGGCTGGCGGGAGTGCGAGGAAGCCCCGCCAAGGCCCTCCCTGGCCCCAGGCAGGCAGGGGTGGGGAGAGGCGGGGAGGAAGCAACTTACCCTCCCTCTTCTCCTGCCGCCTCCTGGCTGAATGAGGGCTGGAAGTGGGGCGGCCGGAAGCAGGGGGCGGGGCTTCGTCATGTGCCCCGTCCCCCTGCACCTCACCCGGGGGAACTGCGATCCCCCGCAATCCCCCCCGAATCTACCTCTGACTTTATGGCATTGCCCTATCTTTAAGTCCCTCATTTCTGGGTATGGATCTGTCTTGTGCAACATCCACAAAGTTGCATGACTTCCAAACTGTTTTATTGTGAGAAAACTTACACAGTGGGGTGGCGGGGGAAGGGGGATTCGAATCAGTACTTGCAAGTTACAAAAAGAATGGAAAGATAATATTTGGCTTGACTGCAGTATTTTATACATCACAGCTGTACAATGGTTTCACTCCCCCCACACATCAGTAGCTAATATATGGGAAAGCAGATTCAGTGGTCTTTGGGGACATTACTCTGTTGTCTTTGTGATGGTTGCACAAGACCTCTTGCATCACTTCCATTTATTTTACTGTGCTTTGAATAAGGGGAGTTCTTTCCTGTCTGTGTTTGATAAGCAGAGTGTATTGAATGAACAAAATCACAAGTTAATGACTAGAATCTAAAAGGTGGTGTGTTTGCATTCAATACCAAAAATGGGGGAAATGCTGATGTACTTAGGAAAGTGCTTACATTAACCAGAAGAGCTCTGATCATTTTATATATAGTGGATTCATATTTATTTGCATGACAAAGGGCCTTCTGTATGTGTGTGTGCGTGTGTAATGATTAAAACATACATGCAATTAATATTCTTCTACTCTGTGGTATTCAGTCTCTTCTCCAGACTATGCAACCAGATACAAATTGGTTCATTTTAAAATTTTTAAAAGAAACGTGTTTAATGTTGCAATTTGTCCAGGGTTTCTTGGGGCTTATTTTATGCAACAAAAGTAAACACTAGGCTATGGCCAGATTGTGAGATGAATGAGATTTTGGATCCCACTCCTCTGCCCCCCCCACAGCGAATGTAATAATTGGTTCATTTATTTTATATGCATATCCTTACATTTGTCCTGTAAATGCAGAGTTACAGTAGAGTGTCAGTCATTTCCTTTTCAAGTTGTGTGACCTTGCACTTCCTGGCAGCAAGGCAATTTCTGAAAGAAATTTGCTCCTCTAGTAAATGACATCTCCATCTTATTGTTATGCTTTTTGACTGGATGAGCTGCGGTGGCTCAAGTGGTTAAGACGCTGAACTGCAGGCTGTGGAAGGTCGGTAGTTCAGCAGTTCGAGACCTGAGTGTGCCGCATGACGGAGTGAGCTCCCGTCTCTAGTTCCAGCTCCTGCCAACCTAGCAGTTCGAAAGCAAGAAATTGCAAGTAGATAAATGGGTACCACTTTGGTGGGAAGGTGTTTAGTCATGCCGGCCACATGACCACGGAAACGTCTTCAGACAGCGCTGGCTCTTCAGCCTTGAAACGGAGATGAGCACCGCAACCCTAGAGTCGGACTCAACTGGCTTTCGAGCAAGGGAACCTTTACCTTTATCCTTCTTGTGCACCAAACACCATGCAAGAGAACCTCCCCAGAATTAAGTCTGAGTTAATACTGATCCCCCCCCCCTTGGATTATTCCTTTTTGTCCCTATTTCTGTAGATTGTCATTCAGTAACTTATTCACTGTGTTTATATTTTAAAATGAAATGTAAGGTGCTGATTTTGCTCTTGTAAATATTTGTCATGTTTGTATGTAACTGAAGTTTTCATGCTTGCTGCTCTTTTATAATCATAGCGTTGTAATTTTTTAAGATTCCTTTGACGCAGGCATTAGATATTACATGCTGCGACAGAAAACGTGCAATTAACGCAAAAGAGATTTTTGTGTGCATGAAGTCTTTAAAATGCAATAAATTGTTTGCAAGGATATCCTCTTGTCCTAACATGACTTTTGTGTGCCCAGTTGAAGAGCCTGCTTTGAAATCTTTTTTGATGTGGTGATACTTGGCCAAAAAAAACCCCTGCTTGACATGAAATGACCGTGGCTGGTTGGAGGCTGTTTGCTGTGCTTGTGGCTGGTTATGAATAATCACTCCATGATCAACCTGGTAGCAAATATCAGTACATTGTGACTTGTCGAGTCAAATATAGACCATCAGTTATATAATGTGACCTGGCAATGCAGGTCAAAAAATCTCCCATTTTTGCTTGCCCGGAGCAGCAAAAACACAGGGGTGGGATGTCTTTGGCTTGATGGATCAAGCCCTGTTCTCTCTGCCCTGTTTTTGGCTCTCCAGAGGAAGTGGTTAGCCTCTGTGTGAGACAAGATGCTAGACTAGATGGACCACTGGTCTGATCCAGCAGGTTTGTTCTATGGATATATTTTTCCAGTCTATAAATTGAGTGCATTTCAGATCAGGTATTGGATGCCCTAAGTTACAGATCTGTGCAGTTTCCAACTTTTAAAAAATTGGATTTCTGTAGTAAGGAGGAACTGAGAGCCAGTTTGGTGTAGTGGTTAAGTGTGCGGACTCTAATCTGGGAGAACCGCGTTTGATTCCCCACTCCTCCACTTGCACCTGCTGATGTGACCTTGGCTCAGTCGCAAGCTCTGGCACAGCTGTCCTTGAAAAAGAGCAGGTTCTGTCAGAGCTCTCTCAGCCCCACCCACCTCACAGGGTGGCTGTTGTGAGGAGGGGAAGGGAAAGGAGGTTGTAAGCCGTTCTGAGACTCCCAAGTGAAGGGCGGGGTATAAATCCAATCTCCTCCTCCAAATCTTTGCTTGAAAGGGGGGTGGGGTCACATCCACTGACTCTTAAGGGAGAGAATTCGTCTGCAATGGACAGAGTTAGGTGGTTTCCACATAGGTTATTTGTCCCAGGTTTCATGCTTTTGGGTCCCCCCCCCCTGCTTCCCTCCAGCATTGTGGTGTGAGAAGAGTTTTTCTGGTCCTGCCCTCACAACAGCCATTTTCCCTGTCCATGCAGCAGCCATTCTGTCAGCAAATGAATATCTTTATATCAATAGCATATTATAACAATCTGTGTATCATTTTCTGTGAATTCTCAATTTTCATCTGAACATAAGAACATAAGAGACACCAATGTTGGATCAGGCCAAAGGCCCATCCATCCACAGTGGCCAGAAATACCAGTGCCATCAGGAGGTCCACCAGTGGGGCCAGGACATTAAAGCCCTCCCACTGTTGACCCCCCCCCCAAGCACTTATCTGTAATAAGTTTCTAGTCCCTTTTGTTACGTAGACATGGATTTTCCCATACCACCACAACGAAAGGGACAGATGTTTACTTTAAAAAAAAAAGAAAGCTGGTGATTCACAGAAAATGATACACTATTAAATTGCTGATTTTTAAATGTAATCCTATGGGTTTGGCCCTCTGTTGGAGCTTCAGGGGAAAAGGTATTTTGTTTCTGAGAGGGGAGTCACAGGAATGGCCTTAGGAAAAAGAGATTTCGGAGGGAACAGGAATTTCTGAGAAGAAACGGGGGAGGGAAGCTATCTGGGTCATGTGAGGAGAAGAGCGTAGCTTGAGATAGATCCCCAAGAGCCACAGAAACAGGGCAGAAAGCCAGCCAGACTGCACCTAAGACTGCGTGGTAAGAGACTTGCAGAAGGCCTCCGAGAGACAGCAAAAGACTCATCACCTGTTCGAGCTTCCAGCTGCAAACTGTTCATTCAGTTTGTGTTGTCTGTGTCTCCTGCTTTGATTTCCCATCCCTCATTGCTGAATTAAACCCCACTTGTATCAAGTTCTGCTTGTGAATACTTATGGGTGGTTGGAGGGTCTGGGAGTTGTTTTAAAGTTGCATGTTTTTCTTTGTGCCTATTGCCTCATCCACCAGGAAGTGGAAGTTACTGGGTTGGAGGCACCTCTGCTTTAATTTTTGGCACTGGACATGAGACAAGGGGGGTAGGGACATAAGGGGTGGTGGCAGCATTGCAGACATGGCAATGTGACTTGAAGGGAAAGCTGGAAATGATGTCACACATGCAGTGCTGGCAATTTTGTTTCTTGCTGCCTGAAGGATGAGCAGATTGCTGGCTGGACATCTCCTGCCATAGCAGGAGAGATCCCGTAATTTCTTCCTTCAGATGGGGTTAGTAGGAGATAATGGGCTTACATTTAAAAACTGAAAAGCTTTTGGGGGAGCTGATGCTGGAAGACTGGGGCAGAGAAACTATGGAGCAACTTGGTATGTGGAAGGCCCATTGCTGCTGTACTATATTGACAGCCTCAGCAGCAACAGGGAAACTACATAAGCCTATCCTTGTGTTGGATGCACCATAGCAGAAGTCATTTGACCTAATCTGCAGAGAAGTGCATTTTATTTGGAGCTTTGGGCTCAATGAAACTGTTACCTTGTGTTTTAAGGGTTTTTCCCCTCTCCTAGTAGAAGTCAGACAAGAAGGGGGAAGTCGGTTGCTCCCAAGCCTTGCCAAGTACCAACACTCAAAGTGTTAGAAATACTAATGGCCTTCCTGGCCAGAAACAATTAAATGCTCAGCTCACACTAACTGGGAATCTGACACCTATAAGAGACATAGAGACATGGGGGTGTGAGGAGCTAGGTTGTATCTTCCTGGAGGTTTCTTTGACCCTCAAGGGTAAATGGTGATAATAAAATTCCTTGGCATGAAGGAGAGGATCCATTTTGGGTGGTTCATGCTGGGGAAAGGTGCTGTCATGCCTGAGCACCAGCTGAATGCTTCCATTGCCATGTGGACAAAGAGTCTGAGGTAACCAGAAGCTTTTATAAGACTGGAACTTCTAAGCCTAAAGAGCCTGTCTTAGAATAAGATTAGCTAGGGCATGTTCAGAGTGCAGGGCAGACAAATTGCTTGTTTATACCTTTCTTGTGTATATCTTTGCTC